AAATGGTTGAATTGCACGCAAGAAAATAGCATAAAACAATCTATTGAATTTATTTCAGAGGATTTTCTCCTCCCCGTGTGAAATATGTGCAATTAGACGCTTATAAAATGAGAAATCCTAACATCACAAAACGTAACGTAATGTAATGTAATTCAACGCAATCATCGACATACATTTCGTCACACAACCTCTTTCTGACTACCCGCATCAGTTCTTGTAATAAAAGCCTGGTAGAAACTCGACAACTGTGTTTTTGAAGGTCTCGATTCAAACTTAACTATGTTCTTTGATAAGTAGACATAAGCAGACACATAAGACACGGTATCGCACCTTAGCGTATTTTGGCGTTCTTCGTTGTCCATCAGGGAAAAAAACCTGTAGCTAACATCTAGTGCAAACTGCACCCTGGTAGATCGGTCAACAACATTTATTTGATTCACACCCCTCAGATTTAACAAATGAGATGATTTTGTTTGGTGTACCTGGTCACAATAATTTTTCTCATTGATCCCAACTTCCATTAAGCACAACATTTTTAGACAACAGCATGAACTGTGCGGTGGCTATGCGGGCGCCATCTATGTAGATGAACCACTTTCCCAGATATGCATAACTAGCCTGTAGGTAATACAGCGTTACGAGATAGCTGCAGGTATCATTCTTACTATGAATACGACGCTCTGTAGANCCCCCAAAAAGCCGCAGGGATACCGGCAGCCGTTGCCACTCACATCGGTTACTTATCTGCGTATATGAGCGACGCTGATTTTGGGGCCTCGCCTATGCACGGTAGAATAATCCAATAACCAACGGTGGCCCCTTATAGTAATATCTCTACTCGTTTTCACTCATCTCGAACACTTGTTGTAACGGCTGGGCCTGCGTCTACGTGCGACGCTGGTAATGAGATTACACTTATACATACTAACATAATCCAATGGCCAATGACGGTCTTTCATAATGTACTCGATTTCGCCTTACTTGGAAACTTATGGTACCTGTTGCAACTTCACATATATTTAAAATTGCCTCCAATCTTGAATGACTGCCTTCCCAGTTAACAATTAAAAAGGACCGCCCTTTTTGGACTGGTGGAATTGAACTCTATTTCAGTTTTACAAGATCTCTATATTTTCCGTTTTCCTTACCGCGCCAATCGTTTTTACCGCTTTGATTATACTATTTTTGTACCAAAACCTTGGGCAGCTGTATATTGTTTTAATTCATGAGTTTGAGACGCGGTTTTGGTCACGCGTTGACTATTGATCCATATCGGCTTTCCTTGCCTTTTGGAGTACCTCACCGTATGCCGAAAACCGTTGAGGTTTATGATTTTGTATTCCGTGTAACTACTTTCATTTTTATTGTACAGCACATTTGCGTAGCCATTCGTTCGGAGTTTTGCCTGTTTGGTTGCTAACCTTGGTGCTCGTTGCTCAATATTTCGAAATGGTCGTTACAGTACCTGCTAGGTCTGTGTCCATGTGCAGCGTTGAATAACCGGTAACCTAATCCATCTTCTTACTCCTAACTGCACGTGACATTGCCAAACTTGGTTACCATTTGAAACTGCTAGGCCAGTGCTTGTATGCGGCGCTGATTCCCAGGCCTCAACTTTGCGCAGTGTCCTATTCTACCTGCCAACGATGACCCGTAATACCCATCACTGTATGCGCTCTCGCTTTTTTGCTACCTATAGTAAACACCAGAGACCAGTATCTATGCAGGCCGATAAAAACGAGGCCCCAACTATGCGTGATATCCTAATCTATTGGCCATCGAAGGCCCGTCATCCTCGTAACTGTAATCTACATCGCCTACCTTGGCTACTCATCGTAATTGCTAGGCGTGTGTCCACATGCAACACTGTGTATGAGGCCTCAACTATACACAGTAGCCAAGCCCAGTGGTTAACACGGTGTCCCATACCCATACCTTTATTCGGTATCACCTGCCAAAGCCCCTCCTAGCAACTCCGGGGCCTGTGCCCATGCTTGTAGCTGTCCATAGTGTTCCAACTATACATAGTAGACCAACCCTACGACCAACGGCGGTCCTTTATATTCATACGCAGTCCACCTGCCAAACCCATGCCTAAAAAATACGCAATCACATTTAGCAACTCATGTTTCTATCTATTGTTTCCACTGATACAATTATAATGTGTTCGATCCTGTTATCAGTTTTTCACTCGACGGTGTTCCTCAAAAAATGTCTAATCAATTATGATCCGAATGCGTCATCCGCGATATCGTTTAAAACACGTAATCAGGAAAGTTGTGATGGCTAACTCACTAGGTACTTGACTAATCACTTTGTCAACTACTCCCGGTATGTGCCCGCGCTAAACCTGGAGAATTACTGTCATATAGGCAAACTCACCACTTGCACAATTAGTTCAATCGGTGACAACGAGAGAGCAGTGTGTACATCGACGATTTGATAGCAGGATCCAGAAACCATATGCATCACTGGGTGCAGCGAAGTCAAAACTCAGGATGGGTGTACACTTGTCAGCCGTAAGACCCAGTCGGGTAGAATTGAGCCTTTGGATCCCAGGGCCACACGCGTTCTCGAACGCTGACCCACAGGTGCAGCCTTAGCAAATATCCAGTGAGTGGGCGGGTACCCCGATGTCAAACCCGCTCGTTTGGAGCTAAATCTCAGCTTCACTCGATTTCTGTTCACTGATACCGATACAGTCTAGCTTAATAAAATCGGCAACTCGATCTTTCCGATTGAAACCCGTAACCATCACATACTCAAATACGGCAGCAATCTAACCAACAGGGGGCACCATCCTGAGCTCCATCCAACCCATCGTTCATGTCGAAGTATTGCAACCCATCTTCACTTCCGAAGTCATGTCGGCTGTACCCTAATAAATGAGCCAGCAAGATAGCCAAACATAGTGCGATCCAACGGTCTCAGGTAATGTTGATCTAGCTGAAAACTGCGGGGAGATATTATCCAGTGGAAATCCCCGGTCCACAACCAGAAAATCACTGCCTAACCATCAACTTACAGGTTTGCCGTTACGGACCAGCACGAGCTATGGTTTTGAGACAACCGATGTGAGACACCTGAAAACGCCCTGCTTCCGCTCCTCAAACAGGCCAGGTCTCACAGCCATACAAGAGAACAGCCCGTACAGCAGTCTGACACACACGGTACTTGATAATCACAGAGATACCGCCCTGACGTTATAGGTGGTCCAAATTAGCAAACGTGACCCAAGCATTGCAGCTTCAAGCAGTGACCTCACCTGACCACTACAACCAATACTAATGCAACTTCAGGTGTATATAAAACGCCGCACAACACTACCTCTCAAATGGGATCAAAAATTGCCTGCCATCTTACGTAGATTTTTTTATACTTCCGAGGATTTCTCGGACCGGGATTTCCTCCCCACAGAATTGCACATCCCAGCCAAATCATCTCATTAACGACGTCCGTTACGGGGCTGTCTAGAAGTCGAAGTGTTTCGGTGCAGTGATGGCATGGCACTGCTATACCCAGTTTGCTAGAACATTCGCAACTGGGCTTCCCCCTCTCTTGAATTTACTCTATCGCCCACTTGTTCCATTACCTGTTACTACCATTTATTTTGACTGTAACCTTATGAACATGTCTGAAGGTGCGCCACCCAACTGTTGGGAATAAACAGCATTATGATAACGTGACACTATGTGGGTGCAAGGCGCACACCAATGGACAACATCATCACCACCCTCGTTGATAAAAGAACAAAAGATGCTAACAGGGGCCCAGCAAATACACGTGATACGGTGCCTCAGACGCAACTGGTTTTGAGAAGCTGCACGCTTTCCTTTGGGCTGCAACAGCCCGATTCTGAGGTCAGCCCACCGTATAAGCACTTAACAACACCAAATATCTCTTATATGATGTCTCCGCAAGTTCCAAGCTGCCTTAGTTGCACACGCTCTAGCCAATGCACGTCCGTCATTATCACATGCCAACTTCAGTTCGCATTGACCGCATACATGAATGTCGATCATCGCTTTTGAAACCAAGCGGTGTCGTATCATTAAAGCAGTCAAAAATTGTGACAACTATTGACTCCGTTACTTTGGGCGGCATTCTAGCTCACATCAAAATGCATTTTAGCAAATCTTTCGGAAATTTTTCCTATTTCAAGTCCCCAATGTAGACACGGTTGTCTTATTACTTCGTTCAAATGGCAGCAATGAACCACTGCCAACCCTCGATGGACCTAAAAATATCCTAGCTACAATGAAAACCTAAAATGGCTTATCCAAGATGTTCATGTACGGAGCTATCCATGGACGCAAGTACGGCGTCGCGATTACGGTACCGCGACTACCATACCCACATTGACGGCTTGCCCGTGGTTCGCTATATCTCTAGTATTTCCCAGACGAGCGCGTCACCCAGAAGACCGTTTCAATCCGTTTAATTTGTGCAGGGGATTGAGAGCGGTGACCGTCTTATTGTGCCGCCTGCTTGTTCTGCTCACAAACCCAAGAGTTCACCAACTGCACTATTGGTGGCTCGGTATGTTGGTGAAGATCGAACCTCGCCTTAATCCAGATATAACGTATGATGTAGATCACAGAAAATAAAAAAATTACTGGCCGCGACGAATTCCTTGGCTTTCATGGGACGCTTGCCGATGAAACCAGCTCTTCCACAAGATTTCCCACCGTTCTCATAGAGACAATGCGCGAAGCCACCGCCAGCCGTTAAAATACAACTCCCAGTTTGTTTAAATAACATCTAATAAAGCTGCCGCTGCGTGGAAAGATCTTGAGCACCCGAATAATTGCCATCAGATTCTGAAGCGATGTGCTTAAGTTTCCACTTTTCGGACCGTGGTTTCTCTGAAATTTTGGGTGTGCGTCTAGGATGCGGCAGTCACGTGCTTTGACTTCCGACTCTTATTTTACTCGCGCTTGCAGCGGTCATTCGCAAGTTTCATATGCTAACCATATTATCAAAGTTTTTCAGACTATGTTAGGAATTTCTCACAATGGGAACTGTTTTAATGGAGACCCCTGGACAACCATGACTGCATTATCATTCAATCGCGGACCCGGGCCAATGACCAGCTATTTTAAAGAAAGCAATTATTTGTGAGTCTGTTTCGTCTGGTATTTTTAATGCTGTATACGCAGTCTGCGATCATTATTTTCATTTCTTTGCCACACTCTCCTGGTAATGTCACTTTTCGGACAGCTAGACCACTTCAAATTTGGTGAACTCGAGTCCTTCTAGATATATTTTGATCTTTTCCTTTCAAGCCGTCGTGGTTTTTTGCCCGGTCATTCTGGATGCAACCTGCTATTCATCAGATTTGATGGAGAATGCTTTTATCGTCCGTTTTCCAGACCGCAATCCTAGAAATCCCAGCGTGTGGCTTCATCAAGTCGGTGCTGATTTCACTGCTCTACGCATCATGCCTTCCGCTTTTTTTTGTTGTCCAACATCTCCTTAGTGGCGTAGCAACAGAAGTAGGTCTATCGGAAGAAATCTCCAAAAAAAACCAGGACGCTCTTCAAGCGGCTGTCATTTGTTGGACAGCAACATCTGAAATTAAGATGCTACGGGATTTATTCACAAATTGAAATTGGTGCCAGGTCGCCGACGCCACTTATTCGCCATATGTGCAGTTTTCTCTACGGCCATAGGCTGGCGGTGGAAATCATGGAATAACTACGACACGATAATTTTCACCCTGCATGTCCTGCGTCATCAGTGCTTTGGTTGATGACCAAAGGCTTGATCAGCCAGCTCAAATGGAGGACAAAAATCACGGCACTCACACCAGTCATCCCGTTAGCACCGCCTTACTCCAACACCTGCCACGTCCACAGCTCCCGATCCCATACATTTTGCCTACTCACAACCGCAAACAAGATTTGATACTCTGACTGATCGTCTAAAATTGCTCGAAATCAACAATCACGGACCGCCTCCACGACCTCGACCTTTGTCGCTTTCCCGTTCCTATTGGTGCTGGCATCACCGATCCTTCGGTCCCTAAACGTGTAAACGCCAATCGTTCAGTTCATTTAAGCCGCGTTTCAACAGATCCCTAAACGTGTAAACGCCAATCGTTCCGTTCATTTAAGCCGCGGTTCAACAGCCCTTTAAACACCCCAGCCAGTCAGAAACGGTGAAGACTGTCTTTCCCACCTTTCACCGGTGGATTATTCCACAGCACTGATCGTTCAAGTGGTCTGAGTGTCCTCATATATGTGGCAGCTGAAGTTAGTGTGCTACCACGTTTGACTTCGGATTGCGACGTGCCTTCAAATGGATTTTCCTTTAAGCCGACATCCTTGGCACAGACTTCCTAACTCCCTACAATTCATCCGTCATTGTGCGACATAATGTCCCTTGGGCATGCTAACCTTCCTTCATGTTTCACTTTTTGTGTATCCTTCTCTAAGCAAAATTTTAACTGCAAACACCCCTCCCAGCTGAGCATTTAGATCATCTCAGGCCGGTATTTCAACGCCTTCCCACCTATAACATAGGTTTGAACATTGACGAATCCTTGTTAGGTTTTACAAACCTACATTTCTTGGTCGCCCATTGACGCAACCGGTATTTCACCATTAGTCGATCGGAATTTGGTCTCAGAATCTTGCCCCATGCCCAACACTATCATCCAAATCATCACTTAATACAGATGATTCATCCTTTATTGTGCAGATACCGATACCAACAACCGGTTTATTTGACTCGAAAGAAAAATCCATTACCCTGCCCCCACCACCATTACTGCTTTCAAAAGACCATAGCAAGCCATCTCTCCCGCCGCAAAAATATCTTTTCTCTATACCCACAAAAACACAAAGTTTATTTTGACAACTGTTGCTTCGAACGCTGTTGTTGGCTCTGTATTCCATCAAGTTGCTAACGTATTTCAACCATTGGCCCTTTCCTCGCAGAACATCCAGGCTAGACAAACGCGTTATAGTACTTTTCGTCGTGAATTACTCGCAATTTACCTTGCTGTTCACCGGTTTCTTCGCCTATAGGAAGACAGTTACCATTCAAATTGGTCATAAGCCACCTAAGTGTGGTTTCAACACCAAGCCTGATCATTATTCACCACGCGACATAAGCCATCTAAACTATATTTCCCTACTCACTACGGCTTTCGGCACACTCCGGGATCAGGCGATGTCGTTGCGGACGCTCTATCCCGCCCAGACTTCAACACTTTACACTCTTCAAAGCAGCTTAACCTTGTCAAACTGACGAAACTTCAGCATCTTGATTCTAATTTTCTTCCATTCTATCCTTCCCTTCATTTAAAGTTTCTTCAGCTCCTGTACCCTTCCAGTCTGGAACCCAGCTATGTCTACCGGCATAGCTTGCCCACTTGTTCCCGAAGCTTTCCGGTTAGTTGTTTCGGGCACGTTCGTGGACCCTCTCATCCATAAATGGGAGCAAGAAATAAGCTCACCGGCGCACGTTTTGTGTGGCCCTTCGTGAATAAGGATCTAACAGCCTGGGTCAAACAGTGCGTCGCCTGTCAACGCAGTAAAGTAACTCGGCATACGAACACATTTATCTACTTATATGCAGTTGCTGATGCTTGATTCACGCAAGTTTATCTTGGTATCTTCGGTCCAACTTCCCCATTGAACGTTTTTACATATATTCTCATCATGATTGTTCGTTTAAACAGTTAACCAGTGGCTATGCCCATTCCGAACACTCCAGCTGCAATGGTGGCTTTTCGTTTATGCGGTATTGGGTCAGTAACTTCGATATACCTTCCTTTGTTACTACCGATAGCGGTTCTCGATTTCAGCGTAACCTTTTCCGTGAATTTTCTGCACTTCGGTTTTTGTCATATTTTGACGATCGCGTATAAGCCCTATTCCAATGGCCCAGTTGGACGTTTACATCCGAACTTCAAAGCTGCATTGGCTGCCAAATGATTCCTCCTTCTTTAACTCTCCTTTTACTTTCTTTTCTTTCCAGCACTAAAGAGGATCTTCACTCTTCACCAGCCGAACTATGTATGGTGCAGCTTTACGTTTACCCAGTGAACTGGTTCCTACTTCTTGAGCAGAGCACAATTCATCCGTCATATTCGTCAATCGTCTAAAACAGCACCTGTTTGAACTTCTTGTGTCACCGATAAGACGACCAACACAAAAGAGGCACGCTTCAACCGATCTCCCTTCTGCACCACTTGCCTTTGAGCGACATGACGCAACAAAGGAACCACCTAAATCCCATTATGATGGTCACTTCAATGTCACCACACTTCATTCCAAATACTTCGTTTTATAGAGGGCCGGAAAGCATGATACAGTTTCAATTGATTGCCTGAAGCTCGCCTTCATCGAAGCACTCACGGCCATGCTTAGTAGTCCCACAACCCACCAGCATCCGCACCTACTCAAGCTACCCATACCGCCAACCTGATTAATTTCACTAGCCGTTCCGGGAAACACGTTCGTTTCCCTCATCATTCAACTGATTACGAAACTTGAGATGAGCACCCTTTTGATTAATTATGTCCATTATTCGAGCGTTTCCCCTGTTGACTTCCCCTGTGAGTCAACGGTGAACACAGGTAATGTTCTTTGTCTTCTAACTACGGACGAGTAACGTGAATTTTTAACCCGTTTATTACAACGCCGTTTTGTTTTCGTTGCTGTTCGCTTTCCCCCTGTTCCACTCCTACTTGAGGTATGCTTATTCATCGGCAACCGATGGCAATATTTGTTGCTCGTCCTTCATTGCTTACAATTTCGTCTCAGTTGTAACTGTTTTTGCGTGTCCACTCTGGCGGAAAAGCCGATCGACTGGGTATCAAACCCAGAGCTTCCAAAATGGTATGCGAACGCGCCGTCCACTACACCAGCGTGACACCCGAAAAAATCTATTTTTGGACTGCATACATACCGCACCTGCCAGATAGTCTTTGTCGAGAGTTGTTTTAAGCGGACCGAACACGGCAATCTAATTAGTCGAGAGACACGAGCCACCGCAACTCGCCATCATCCAAAGACATTCCCTCACCTCCTGAAAGCATTAATTGTTTTCCTAGCCATTATCACTATACGGCCATCTTACACTAAAAGACAGCTCGTATCCGTACGTTTGCAAGTCGTTTGGTGCTTACTCGTTGTTGTTTCTGGAAATTCTTGCTGTTACACTGGCTATTTTCTGCTCCTGCTGATTAGGTCAGTATTGATTGTCCTTTCGACTAATTCGTGATGCTTACTATCCCGTTGTCTATAGAACCAGTTCCAGTCAGTTATCAATATATCACCTCCTGCCCCCGTGTGTCTGCTCCTATTATCGACTGGCTACCAACTGCGCATAATCCGATAGCTGCAATTGTCCTGTGAGATCCCTAGCCGACCGGAGCTTGCGTCCCCCTTTCCTGATCAACGCTCTAACAGGAACTAGTGTGGTGTTCATACCTCTCCTTTGACTCTATTTCAGCATTACATACTTCGACAATCACATAAAAGTTATTTGTTTAAATACGAAAACTACAAAAACGCGCATTTGTACAGTTACGCGCAATACAAAGGTGGCCACGTGCTGCAACAGTCGCTTCTGGTTTTTACTCACGCTTTCAGCGGTCATTCGCGCTAACAATATTATCAAAGCATTTCAGAATATCTTTGGAATGTATTATAGTGAGAACTGGACAACCATGAATGGATTATTATTTATTCGCTGACCTGGGCCAACGATGAGCTATTTAAAACAGAACAATTATTTCTGAGTCTGTTTTGTCCGGCATCTTTATTACCGTATACTCAATCTAGCGATATTATAATAATTACCTTGCCACACACTTTGGATAAAGTAGCTTGTGGGTAGCCAGACCACTACAACATCGAGCACCACATAACGCCCGCTGGTTTCCCGGATCTTTTCCGCCATCGACGACTACACCCTGAGAAGCTGCGTATCTCCAAGTCCGAGTTTGACCATATGCTGCGACTCGAAATTATTCAGCCTCAAAATTCGTGTTAGGCTTCTCTCTTATATTTGGTCCCCAAAGTTCCACTGGTGACTGGCGACCATGTGGCGTCCACCGGACGCTTATTTATTGTGCCGTCACTCACCATTACCAAATACCACATATCCACGATTTTGTACTGCAATTACAGGGCAAAACTGTTTTCTCCAAAATTGGCATTGTCCATGCGTGTTACTGCATACCAGTTGCCCTCGACGACATTCCGAAAACGGCGATCACTACACCGTTTGGTTTATTCGAATTCGCACGCATGACCTTTAATCTTCGGAACGCCTTCAAGCACTTCCTAGGTCAGGCACCGCTTGGTTTAGACTACGTTTTTGTCCAAATGGAAAACGTCTTGGTGGCAAGCAAAAAGATCGAAAACCAACTTACGCTTGCAAACTGCCTTCGAACGCTTTCAACAACATTGTTTCACCATTAACCCAGATAGGTGTCTTTGCAGCAAACCAGCTTGATTTCCTGGGCCATCGTATTAACCCCGAGGGATCCGGTCGCTGCCATATCAGACAATCCTGAACCTCAACCAACTCGGAGCCTTCGTCGATTTTCGGGTATGGTAAATTACTACGATACATTCATCTCACTTTGCTCAGATATCCCAGTGCCGCTAACCGAAGTGTTCAAAACAAACACTAAACAGCTGCAACCCATTGAAGAAATAATGACTGTTGTCAACTCTATCAAAGTCGCTCTTTTGAAAGACAATGCCTTGGCCCATTTGAATCCCAGTTCCGGTTGTCACCTCATATTGAAAACGGACACACCACAAGCACTATCGGTGAGGTTCTTCAAAAGGTGTTCAACAACAGCCGGTTGACTACCATTGACTGGTAGTAACCTCCAATATGAGCAAAAATTTTAGCTGCAAACACGACGCATCTATTCACATCAGCGGGTTAATATTTCAATTACCGGAGGTATGGAATACCAGGAAACAGAATCACGTTTTCTGCTGTGATGGTTCGAAGGAATGCGGAACTACGGAAATTCCTGTTGTCAACTGAGTTAAGATTTCATTGAACTTTCTGCTAGTGATTTTAGATCTGACATACATTAGTAATTTGTTCTTTTAACTAGAGACTCCATAGGGCCGTCACCCATCGCAATACAACCCAAGGATTCGTCCAATTGTATTTAAAGCCCTTGAGTAAAAAGAACAGAAAAAGAGTGGCTGAGCGAGGTGGTCGAGTGCTGGTCTATGTAGACTATTCGGAGGTGACTACACCTACAAACGCCCAATCAAATAACCTGGAAAGAAACTGACAACACGAATGCCACTGACATCGATTAGCCGCCATTTCTTGCAACGTCTCCAGCCAAGCACAGACGGGGTCACGGAAACCCCATCCTGGAAGGCGTACAACACCCAAACTCTTCGTGATCTCTTTCACGCCTTTCTGCCAAGTCATTTGCTGTCCAACTCGCGGTTTGCGCCATCCTGGAGGAGGCATGGAGAACAACACTCGTCTCGGTGGACGGTGTTTCAGCATGCGTAGCACATGGCCGAGCCATCGTAGTCGATGATGCTGGATGTTTTCCCGGATTGAGGTGCCTGCAGTACAACCGAATACCCGTTTTCTAATAACCTCGTTGCCAACACGCTGACGCCGTCCGCAACCAGGCACGCTTATGAGGCATCGGTGGTGTCTGTCCGCACAGGCACTCTCCTGCACCCATACAATAATGCAACCCTTGTTGTAGCCTGGTACACACGACCCTTAAGATCCAGTGAGATGCCTTCACGATGCATCAAGTGCCGCAAATTAGCAGCCGTGATTCGGACCTTGCAACGACTTCCTCAAGCACCTTTTCGTTGGAGCTAATACAGCTACAGAAGTGTGTAAAATTTTCCACAATCTCCTGTGAATCTCTTTGACTTCTAAGGGATATGTTCAGAGACTGCACGTTCGGAAGCATGACTTTGCACTTTGCAGGTGTAAGGTGCGTGCAAAAATATGGTCAGTTTATTCAACAGATCAGATGTAAGGTGCGTGCGAAAATATGGTCAGTTTATTCAACAGAGCTTGTGCTTCGTTTGGTATTCAGAGATGAGGGTGAAGTCATCTGCACACTCTAGGTCGACAAAGCTCTCACCAGCAACAATTACAACATCGGGATTTTGAAGACCGTCCAGTATTCGCCTCATTAATTCGTCAATGATGAAGTTGAACCCACCCAGAAATATGCGCGCATGGAGGTCAGATTATGTTCACAAACATCCGCAGCATACCCTGTTGGGCAGCTGTAGTCAACAGCATTGCTCTATTGACAGAATTGAACGCACCCTTAAAATCAAAGTCGTCTGTGCACGTGGCGTTGCTCTAACACAGATGCAATAGGAAGACGTCGTCACGGCAACATGTACCCGGTCAAAATCCCACTCGCTTCTCACTAGTCAAGGTGTGTGTCACCCCAGTTGTCTGAAATAGCCTCTTTCTCTCATATAAGCCCAAAAAGGCTTGATAGGCACCGGCCGAGGAATCCACCGCCATCCTTGAAAAGAGCCGGTAGAAGGTCGTTAAGACCAGCAGCACGATGACGCTTGAGTAGAGAAATACATTTGGACACTTCGGCGGCCAAAGGCGGCTCCAGATTCAAGGGCCACTTTACTGTTGAAGGCTGGGATTCCGGACTGATGGTAGCAGGTGGGCAGCTGAATCGCTGTTTGAAGTACTGTGCCCAGCGGTCCAAACATTCTGCTTTGTCGCATATAAAGGAGCAATGTTGGTCACTAATTATTTGGCTAACAAGAGGTTCCCGAGGACCAGTAGAACGAATCAAGTGGAAAAGCTTGCGCACGTTTCCGGCATTTTTGCATCTTCCATTTCTTCGGCATTTCGGGTCCACATAGCTTCTCTACCTGCATGGCTGCTGAGTTTCACCTGCCGTCCGGTAACGTTGTGACTGCCGCCAGTGGGAATCTGTCGCCGGGTCTCCAGCAAAGAAGCAGTTCTATCAGAGATCCAATGTTTGGATGAGGTTGGCTGGAGTGCACCGCAAAGCGTGTTATGGCTTTGAGTAGCGCCTCGAATATCTCTTCCTAGTGGAGGTTAATATCGGACGTCGTGCCGTGCAGCAGGTGCCCGAGGTGCTGGTTCCAATAGTTTCGTTTGAATTCTGGGTCCACTAGCTTCTAAATGGCTAAGCGAGGTGAGGGGATTTCCGCACAACTGAAAGGCGACATGAAAAGCTGAAGCTTACAATGGC